GATCTGATTGGTCCATGTCTGTGCGCAGTTGTTCTACTCTTGTAAAACTTTCTTCTTGAAGCGGATTGGACAGCATTTCAGCCAATCCAAACACAAAGTTAAACAGTGAGTACGATTTGCGGATTTTAATGCCTTTGCTCGGCATGGGTTAGTATCAGTTTATGAAGGGAAAGATAGGCTGTTGTAAATTTAGCCAAAGCTGCGATATCGCCGTCTAACTACGCCTTGGGTGAGTTCCCAAGGAAGAACAATACAAGAAGAGTGTAAACATAGAAGTCTTTTTCCATATCTAGTACAGAATACTTATAACAAGCAAAACATACAAGAATGGACCAATCAACTTGTGTCCTTGAGGGTTAACATTTTGACTGACTGTCGGCCTGGACAGGGTGATAGCGCAGAACACTAATCATGAACGGCGGCTTGATCGATCTCATACTCTCGAGGCTTGTACCGATCGATAGTGCACCACTGAATGAGAAATCAGGACAGCGTAATAACTGGTCGTTAGGCCTGCCCTTAACATAGGTGAAGATCTCTGAGCTCCCTGTTGGTAACAAGATGGCCAGAAAACGTTTGAATACGAAAGAAAACTTGGAAAGCAATACGTCAGTTATATGATTGCAGGCTAAAAGCCAGCAGTTTTTGGTAAGTCTAAAAATGAATGAAACACGAGTAGTATAATTAGTCTGTACCTTATGTAACCGAGTGTCTGGTTTTTTAGGTTTGTGATGTATGTACTGTTCGCTCAGGCGGAGAAGACACCTTCTTCGGAAAGACCATTTAACGCTGCAACCACTCTGTAAATGAAGAAGAACTTACGTCCATCGATCCTTTCTTTGCCGGGACGTAGTTTTAGTGGATGACTGCGCAAAGTGGGCTTGTTAGTTTAGGTTAAAAAATCATTGGGAACAAAGCAACAATGCAGGCCATTCATAGTACGGAAGGTTAGAATGGTATCCCCTCGAAGTTGCCTGCAGGAAAGAGGGAATAGGTTTATTTTTGGCAGTCTGCCTTCATAGGGCATTGTTGCCAGACTGTTGTAACCTAGTGTGTTCCTGTGTCAACACCGGTTATGTTCCCCCAGT